ATTTTTATGTCGAAATTTTTAGACTATTATACTTATATAATTTTTTTACGTTTTATTATATAATTTTTATTATGTTTATGAAAAAAAAAATCCGGATATCGTCCTTATACTTATTCCAAAGTCTCAACAAATCTGATGGATTGCAAAATATTAAAATAATACCGAATAGTTCTCTCATTTTATTAGGTGAACGACATACTGCTGCTTCTTCTAAAGCTAAATTTCACTGAACGTTATCTTCTAATAATTTAAAGGCTCTACATGTTGCTTGAAATGTCGGAAATTCAGTGTTGTTCAAAGTCTTGAAAACTGAATACGATGTTGGGCTTTTTACGTGATGAAGAAGAAGACGAAGATGGTAACATTCAACATTCTTTGGGTGGATTGTATATTATACTCTATCCAAAGCTATATCTTTCTTAACTACTGACCACCCCCGCAACATTCTGGCCATATTTACGTCTAACAAATGTTCTTATTTATCCGCACATAATACGAAGCAACTTGTGGATAAACCAATGTCCTTGCAAAATTATCGGTTTAAAATATCAGAAAAAAAAGCGTGAAGAGTAGTTGTAGGTGGATTTTCTATTCTTTCTGTGACATTATTTGCTGTAAAGTAAACACGTTGTCCATTTTCTAGTTGAACATTAAGATGAGTAATACATATCGTGTATATGAAAACCTAAAATTTTCCAAGCTGCTTCAGAACTACTTACATACGTGCCACTCGTATATTTTTATTTCATCTGTATTGTCAGTTTTCCCTAAACCAAACACTGCGTGATCGCCGCTACCTTTTGAGTCATATTTRCATACACATTTTGTTGACTTTATTGAACTGGTTATCTCAACATTTATATGAACAATAAAAGTACGCAATAAAACTGTGTTGTATTGAACAACCCACATGTCATCCAAGACAATAGACTTAATATATATGGTCCATGTATCATGTTAGYCTTTACTATCTCGTACAATAAAGGATCTATAACTATATTAGGAAACTTAGCACACAYGAATTTGTTTATCATATCTGATGATATTAGATTCTTCGACCATAGCAATATGTGTACGTGAAGTAGGCCTTGCTTCTGCCATTCAATTGAATATATATGGCACCTTAATTTCCCAAACAAATCACTTTTTTCCAACAAATCCATAAACTTCTTAACTTTTAAATTAAAAAGTTTTGCAATGATGTCTGCGTGATGGTAATGTGTTTGTCCTGGTAGAAGTGCTTCTTGGATTTCTTGCCATTTCGGATTACACGTAAAAGTTATGAATAAATCTGAGCTGCCATAGTGTCAAACGTACGTCAGTGCATCTTGGGATCGTCCATACATATATTGTTGACCTCYTATAAAAGATGATTGCATCACAAATGATGATCCAAGTTGATCTGCTTAACCATCTTGTCTTCTAACGGAGTCTTTTAAATGTATATATTTATCTGCTCTAAACTTTTTTTGATGATTTCTGATAAAATTTAATTTTTCGTTCTCTATTTTTGAGTACATTTCTMCTAAATATTGGTTTAACAGTGGTCCAYAACGAAGTAAATTACTATCTAGTTCTTTTCTAACCTTAATTCTGTATGAATAAAAGTCAGAAGCTGACACAGTTTTATCCTTAATGGGAATTTTTTTATTTGCATCCTTCTGAGTATTATACTGTAAAACATCTAACGAGTATCCATCTACTCCATAACAATACATTAGAGGGTATTGAAGTGCGTCGTAGGATCTGTGTATTTCACTTATCCGTTATAGTCGATTATCG